TATCTATATATATTTTATTTTTTAACAGATATACCCTATTGTGCACATAGTAGTGGAATGTATACTAATGAATATTGCTTATGTTGTGTTTACTTTGCAGATGGCTACACAACAGATGACATTGAGTTCTACTGGAGAGGGGGTGAAAATGCTGTAACTGGTGTTGAGAGGATAGAACTTCCTCAGTTTTCCATAATGGATCACAAGTTGGTGTCCAAGAATGTTGTGTTTGCCACAGGTATGTATCATAACTTATTATATTTAATCGAACAAATACAAAAAATACAGTTCTCTTTAATAATCTAAATAATCCAAGTCATGTAATTTTGCTTGCAAAACAAGAAAAACTGTTATTTATAGCTAAATACATTGCAGAAATAGGAACACTGTCAGTTAGATATGACAGAGAACAATGATGATACCAAAAATGCAGTAACTGATAGTAAGCAATTAAATATCAGTTCGCTAAGGATAATCTTTGTGTCATGACCCACTATAATAGGTCAGTGGGGATTGGCATTTCAGCCAAGCTATAATGAACAATTGGAAAACAAGGATAGCCTATATGCATTAGTTAGACTGTATGCATGGTGAAGACTAGGGTCTTTGAGACAAAAGTGATCCTGATGCTGGCTTCAACTTGCAGGGCCAGCGAAGTGACTCACCCTCCCTGGTTGACACATTGCAGAATCTCCCTTGACAGCAAGCACTTATATTCACAAGATGGGTTGCTATATTGGACCATATTCATGAGCTGATGTCATATCCTGGGTGGTGCTTAGTCTCAGTTATTAAAGTTTACTGTTAAAGGAATAGAGCTTGCTCCCTTAGCAAAGTCAATACTAGTAAATAGGGTTGCGCAGATACCAAGTACAGTACTCGGTACGAGTACTTGTACCGATACTTTTGAGCTCCAAGACTACACTAGAGAAAAACGCAAAAATTAGGAGGCAGCTGTCATTTGTAAGGAGCACACGGAGCTCCTGGGATTTGTACATCTCTGTTTTAATGTACGATTTTGTTTTTATAAATATAAATAAAGGGATGCACAGATACCAGTTTTACGAGTACTGGTACTTGCCGAGTACTTACGAGTACGAGTACTGATACATTTTTGTTTATTGTCATGTGACGGTTTTTCTAAAACAATACAGACTAATGATTTCAGGACAGTGGTGGAGTGCCAGAGCCAGGTCCCAGCTGCAACTTATGCAACCCTGGTAGTTCTCATGAAAATGCCAAGTATCTGCACTGGTACTCGAAAAGTATCTGTGCTTCCCTACTAGTAAATAGTGTGAATTTTAGTTCACTTTTAATCCCTGACCAAAACAATATTCACTGTAACATTCACTTAAGTAAACACACTTAAACATTGTCTACCCTTTTAGTAAATCTACTCCAGTATGTACTAACAATGTAATAGCCACTGCAGTTTATACAATTTCTGCTTTATGGTCCCAGCACTGCTTTCAGTGGTACAAGTACATAAATACACAAGGCAGCTATTAAAACCCTTGTTATATTCTCACAACATTTATCTAATATCTGTGAGGCCTATACTCCCACTCTGGCAGTGAAGAATGCACCAATTATCAAATCAGTGCTAATAAATAGCATGCTTTTCCCCTGTGGAGAGAATATTCATAAACATAAATGGCTACATAATATATCTATGTTTATATGGTGTGTGCATATATATTTATATGGTAACCTGCTTACTACAATAAACAGCCTAAGCATTTTTACACTTAAAAGTGTAATTGGTCAGAATTTTTGAAAAGAAAATGTTTAGGAATGGCTATGTTATCCCAGTGCACACAAGAGTCCTTATAATAAATCATATGTAAATACATATCAGCAAACATTTAAAATATGCACAGTTTTTAGAACTCCTGTTTTCATGAACTCTGTCCTTTGAGAGAGTGCACATGTCAAAGTGTTAATAAAGCCACTTAGACTTGCACCTGGATACTGGCTAATTATTTGACTTTGCATACATTATCTCTTTTTTTTTTTAACTTCGTTTATAGAATTTCCAAAAGGAACATCAAAGGAGTGAAATACTTGTTATTCTTTATGTCTATTTAAGGAAATATACATTTAAAAATACAATCCCACAAGCCATGATTTTCAGTGCCTTATCACAAAGTGACAAGCAGAAATATTAATGATTCACTTTTAATTCAGTAAAATATATCAAACCAAGATTGCTGTGTTAAGGGTGCCAAACACTTATATAACGGTGGGCAATAAAAGCAATCTTTTAAGACATCATCAAGAATGTATTCAAGCGACAACTTGTGCACTTTTCAAGAGGCAACTTAGATGATCATAGGAGAA